CTGGCCTCCAACACAGAAATCTTCCTGCCCCTGCTTCCAGAGGTTTACAGGTGGCGTGTGCCACCTCAACAAATACATTTTGAGTTATATCAAGCACCTTTTTAGGCTGAGAATTCAAAGATGTGTAGACCATTCTGCCATGCAGAGTTAAGTCTAATGCCTCATGTCTCAGAGCCTGGTACTTGACCACCAGCATCAGCTACACCTGGGAGATTAGCAATACAAGGTCTCAGGCCTGCTCCAGAAATACCAAGTCAAAATCTTCACACTTTTACAGGATACCCAGGTGAGTCTCATGCATATTGAGGCATAAGAAGCATTGAGTGAATGGGCTGTTAATGATGGAAGGATTCTTCTATTTCTACTTTCCTCCATTTGTTCAGCAAGCACTTAAAGATCAGACTGGCTGGCTTGGAACTGGGGGATTGGAACACAGAAGACCTTGACAGAGAGATCAAATTCTGCTAATGGAAAAAGAGAAAACATGACAGTTTGTAACTGATCATGAGGGACTGTAATCCACCTTCTAGAGATAAAGGGACTCACAGGTCCCTGTCAGAAGCAGACATAGTTCCAGACACTAGAGCAGGAGAAAATGGCAAAACTTGTTGATGAGAAAAAGCAGGCTGGAATCTGCCCCCCTTACTCATTTTCACAATTGGGATTCATTAGCCATTGTCCCAAAAAGCCTGGCCTCCCTCACTACTCAGAGGACCCGCCCCCCCCCCCTAGCTGTCCTGACTGAGGCAGCTCCAGACCCTAATTATATAGGTTAGATAGGAACTGTCAGCAAGAACCAACTGGGGGAGACCTTTCGGCATTCATAAACATGTAGAAAAGTTAACAAAGTACTGTTTAGATGGCCTGGACAGTGAGGCTATTATACATGCTACTCTCATGAGCAGTGATTCAAATGACAGCCTCAGAAAGAATTTGCAAAGAGCCCCTTGACAGTGGAACATGGGCAACTCAGAGCCCATGACATGTTACAAGGTCAAACCCGACAGAACAAAGATCTAAAGCAGCATTAAATGACTTATTTATTCAGCCCTGCTCAGTACAAATTTGGGAGAGTGTGACATCTTTTAAATTACCTCCATAGTAAGTGATATCCATGGTGCATGAAAAATGTTAGCAAAACTTTGAAAAGAGCAGAATGTTTTACAAGGCAGTGATTACAGTGTGGCCATATTGAGGTTCCCAGTTAGTTCTGCAGACTGCCCTGGTAGCTCATAAGCTTACAACAGGAGGAGGAATGGTCGGTCACAAGAGGAGAGGAAAGCCTTGCCTTTTATTATTCCCTTCTGCCTACACCCTTCACAAACCTATGTGAAGAGCTAGCCCTTGTCAGGTTTTCAGGTGGGAATGCCCCACTGTGTACTTGGTGTGAGCAAGAGTAATAACATTCTAATATCACTTCCCAAGCGAAGTGGCTTTTGTTTGTGTTCTGAGCCCCATTGGAGCCAATACTCTGGTTATTTTCAGCTGAGTGATCTACAGAACTCTCACATGCCCTGAGGTTGTCATTGCATAGTGGTGTCGTGCACTAGAAAGAAAAAATACAAGGCATAAGTAATTCAGACTCAGGCAAACATGCTCAGGAAACCTTATAATGAGCAACCTGCATGGAAATGCAGGGCCAGGACCAAGGATGGGCAAGTAGAACACCTGATATACAAAATGTGAGGACATCCTACCCTGACTGACATGAGTCAACCTCAGAATACAGAATACATTTGAAATTTAGGCACTGAACTTGCTTTGTCCTGATAGAAACCCAACTCATTGGCCTCCTGCCATAATTTTCCCATTCATTCCTCAGCTCCTTGATACTCTAGGTGAGGAGACCCAGTGTTCATCAAAGTAAAGGAAAAAACAAACAAACAAAAACAAACCAGACCATTTAGGAGAATAAAACTTGAGTGGTTGATAATGAACCAGTAAGAGATTTAGCCAAGTGAAAGCCATAGGTGAGCCAAGAAAAAGGAGACCAAAGACTAATTGACCAGTAATCTGTCCTAGCTAGGCACTAGGATGTGGGCCCAGATAGTGAGGAGATGGCTATGTGGCTCTTATGAGATTAACCACAAGTGTCTGTTCCCACAAAAAGGCTCAGGATCTTCACAAAGAGACACCTACCCTGCAGATAGCTTCCTTCTCTTCTGGGTATGAGCATACTGCTCTGAGGGATGATCAAAATCCTTTCCAACACCCATTTCTTCCAGTCCACTGAGATTGGACCTTATCCAGCCCACTTCCTCCCTGATAACCTCATATTTTTGCTTCATGCCATGATGCTGTAAACATAAAGCCAATCTCAGCAGCTTAGAGCTAAAGGAAAAGAAACAAATGGTATCTAGTTCATAGTTATTCACAAATGACTCAGAGGAAAGCATGATTCTCTATAGTGGTTGGTGTCTTTATGACCATCAAAAGGGGGGGGGGCGGCTGTGAATCTTCTAGCTCTTCATCACACACAAGCAGAACTTCCAGCACTTTGGTGTGCTATCATTTCCTCCATGTGGCTAACTGCTTTTTAAACTTTTTCCTTTTTCTTTTTGTTTTTGTTTATTGCTTGTTTGCTTGCTTTTGTTATTGAGACAGGGTTTCTCTGTGTAGCCCTGGCTGTCCTGGAACTCACTCTGTAGACCAGGCTGGCCCCAAATCCAAAGAATCACCTGCCTCTCCTCCCAAGTGTTGAGATTCAAAGCATGCGCTGCCCAACAACATTTTTTATTTTATGTATATGGTTACTTTTGCCTGCATATATGTCTGTACCTCACGTTCATATCAGGTGCCCATGGAGGCCAGAAGAGAGAATCAGGTCCCCTGGGACTAGAGTTACAGATGGTTACCCACTGCCATGTGGGTGCTGAGAATCAAACCCTGGTCCTCTGGAAGAGTAGCCAGTGTTCTTAACCCCTGAGCCATTTCTCAAGCCCCCACCACCCTCTTTTAAACACCCATTTCCATATTGCACTTCCTATGTTTCCTTTTCTCCCATCCTTGGCTAGCACTTGACATAATCCAACTGGAAAACTTAGGCATTCATCTATGTAGACTTTAAATAATAAGATCTTTAGAGTAAGGTATCCAAACCTAGTAGAACCCTGGACCCACAAACCTAGGCTCTGGGCTCTGCTCAAGGTGGCACAGCAGGGCATTTGAAGTTCAGGACCGTGTACAGCACTGTATAAAAACCACCATTCCCTGTATAATTTTAATGCTTTCTAAAGATAGCATTCCTTTCTGTAAGATTTCTGCCACCATGACTCAGTCTCACAAAATTGTCATCATTATAACATGAACATATTTCAATTATAATCTGTGCTCTGGGTACATTAAAGTTACCAAATTGTCTTGCTGAGACAAGTTCATTAAGATCATAATGTGACCAAGATGTCTTAAGGGTGGCAGAAGTTGAGGGAGGAAGCCCTGCAGATAACAGCAGAATCTTTCAGCAGCATTTCTAAGTACTGTGCTGCAACACCGAGCAGGTTGTGGTCTTTGACACACCACAGCCAGTTAGTCCACAGACCCAAACCCCCATTCTACACAGTATCTTTGAGCCAAAGTCTATGATAATCAACCCAAGCAAAGAGCTGACCATACAACTGAGGGTCTAGTTATGGCAACACAAGTATAGTCTTCAATTTATTGGAGAAAGTGAACAGCATCCACTCCCTAAGACTCTTTCCTAAAGAACAAAGATTTCTAGATGCAAAAAGGTCCATTGTTTATAATAACAAACAAATAAAAATCTATGCCAGCTTGTTGTGCAGGAGACCATCTGAAATTCCAGAACTCAGAAAGCTGAAGCAAAATGATCATGAGTTTGAGACCAGTCTGGACTACATAGTGAGACCCTGTGATCTCAACAAACATCATCCCCTAAGATGAAAGAAATCAAAATCTGCCTGGAGATCTGAAAATAGTGGAATAGTGGAGAATGGAATGTTGAACAAGATTGTAGAGAAAGGAAAGTAGAATGGCAGGGGACCGGAGAGATGGCTCAGTGGTTAAGAGTACTGTCTGACCTTCAGAGGACCCAGGTTCTATTTGCAGCACCCACATGGCAGCTCACCACTGTCTATAACTCCTGCTCCAGGGGATACCCGAATACAGGAACACATGCAGGCAAACCACCAATGTACATAAAAATAAAAAATAAATAAATTATAAAGTTGTCGGGCCTGGTAGCAAGCATCTTTTGAAAAAAGGTAGAATGAAATCTTATACAGCCATTAGAAGCTGATATAATGATATAGACTGTTTAATGTAATGTGAAAAATGTTAAACAGTGTCATCTGTACTGTGATTCCAACCTTATAAAATAAGAGCACATTTGCATAAGAAATATAAAGAAACATGAGAACAAAACAGTTGGTATTTAAAGGTGATTGGATTTGTGAGTGATATAGTCATTTTTTGCACATGTCACAGCATCATGTAGAATAAATAAAACAGAAAGAAAAGGAAAACAACTGAAACATAGAAAACCTTTCCTATGCCAGGCAAGATAGTGATGCTTGGAATAGCTCTGTGTTCTTCCCCACTTCTTTGAAGCAGCCTACAGTCTCAACTCAGATGGATATTTGGATTTTATGAAGCCCCCTGTTGAGAATAATGTACTGTGTATATAATGGAACAGATTGCACAAAGTCTTTGGTAGTAAATCCAAAGTGCATTTGAGTGGTATATTGGCATGAGAAGGGTATTTTGTTTTTGAGACATGGCTTCATGCAGCAAAGGCTGGCCTCAAACTTACTATGAACCTAAAGATGAGCTTGAATTTCAGAGCTTCTTCCCTCCACTGCCTAAGTGCTAGAACGACAAGCATGCATCACCATGCCTGTGCATGCTAAGGAAGCCCTCTACCTAGGCCCAGTTGTGGTATTATTGTCCCATGATGAATATGTGAAAATCTTGCTATCAGAAAATGATGTATTTTTTTCTCTTTCCCCATCCCTTTCTCTCTCTCCTGCCCCTCCTCTTTACAGTTCTGCTAAGCCAATATTCTCTAGAATGAGCACAAAACAAGTCAAATAACAGCTAAACAAACAGCTTTGTACATCAACATCAAGAAGGAAGACACTTGGGAGAGATCAGAGTCCAGAGACGAATATGCACAAAAGTGAAACATCCACTCGTCAAAGCACCTTCTGATTCTAGATCTGCAGAGCTGCAAGTGATTTTCTGGAAGGAGCTATGATCACGGATTAAACACCAGCTCATTGGAAACTGTCATTAAATAAGATCAGATAGCATTCATTAAAATCATATTCAGGAAATAGTTTAAGAAAGAAGAATACAAACGTGCTAGAATTAATGTGTAAAATATATATGTACTGAGGTTTATAAACTGTCCTTTTTAAATCAAACCGAAAACAAAAAAAGCTTTAATCTTTCAATAATATTAAAAGAAACAAAGGGGCAGTTAGTTCTAGATTATTCCTGTCTCAGTAGCCAAGAGGCTGATCAAATGTCATTTATTGAGAATTGCCTCTGATCCTTGGTTCCTCATCGCTACTGTCCACTCATTTCACTGTGCAATTAATTACACCACTTGGTTATTAAGAGTGTAACCCTTCAACCTTCTTACCAAGTGTGTGTTCAATTTAATCTGTCTGTACGAGTTGTCACCAAGGAAATGTTTCTGCCATGTGCTACCACTCCATCAAAACTGTGAATCATAGGAAGTACACCATTACATCATAGGTTCCCAAACAACATAGATTTCCCTGTCATTGATGAAACATCATCAAGGAACTCTGAACAATATAGAAAGTTTATTTTCACTTGAATGCTCTCTCATGTAATAGACTGCTGTCAAATAAACACTTTTTCTAATCCCCCCTAGTATATGCATAGGAATTTAATATACTTTATAAATAGATATCTAAAATATGAGTTTTCTATTTCTTCATTCCATATGTCATTAGAAATCCATATCCTTTATTTCCTTTACTGACATATACTCATTTTTGTTTTGATAAAAGAAATTATTCCATTAAATCTACTTCTAAATGGTAGTAAGTGGTACTAACAAAATAAATAAAAACTTTATAGCCTTAGAAGAAAATAACTATATACTTATACATGTCAAAGGAACTTGATAGGAATAAATCACCTTTTGTTTATTAATGATTTTGAAAATTCTCATATCTTGTTTTTTCCTTTTGGTTAGCCAATACTTGGTAGTAGTTACAACTAACCAGCTGTCTTTAAAGGATCTTTTCCTCCCAGGATCCCCTAACCATTGCCCTCATAACATCTCTTGCCTAAATCCAACAACAGAGAAACATTTAATATTGAAGTAATCCATTGTCTAAGGATAAACACAAGCTGAAGTGCACATGTAGGGGGCTCAGTGGAAGCCGGCCCATACTATATACCTGAGCAGAAAACACACATATAGAATGTCTTCACTCACAGGCTCAGAATAGGGTTGAATTAGCATCTGTCACTAGATCATCAGCTGGAGCATAACAAACAATCAGGGTTGCCTTCTCCTGTGCTTGCACAAGGCCACATTCATATTTTTAGCCATGTTTTCACCGTGAACCAAATGTTTCAAATGGCTAAAAGTATATTACAGGTACACTCAAGTGCTCAAGTAAGTAAACCCAGTTCACAGAGGTGTGGCTTTCATAAGGAGCTGTATTAAGGGGACACTTAGTCTCTATAACTATAGTATAACTATAGTCCTTCTGGGGGCCATTTGTTGCTTAAAAAGTAGTAGTTGTCCTGATGCATTCAGAATACCCTACTTACTAAATTTAATTACACACAACTTTTGTTTTGTTTCATTTTTCAAGACAGGGTTTCTCTGTGTAGCCCTAGCTATCCTGGAACTCACTCTGAAGACCAGGCTGGCCTCAAACTACACACAACTTTTTAAAAATTTATTTTTATTTAAGGGGAGGCATCTCTATATATACACTAAAAACAGAAGGTATTAGATTCCTCTAACCCATGTAAATTATGGTTCTGTCTGGGGTCCTACATCACTAGAAGTGTTGTTTTAAAAAATGAAATGTTCTTCCTCTCCACATGCAAATGTCTTTAATAAGTTTTTGCCATAAAACCCAAGTGTAATTTAGCATACCATAGTGCTATGAAAATGGATCATTGATGATATACCATTTGTATATAGATAATACACATGTAAATCACCAAATGTTAAGTATAAGAAATATGTTTTTATCTTAAAAAAAAAAAAACCCTTTCTCATTCTGTTCTGTTATATTATGTCCAAAAGTTGTGTGCAATTTTTTTAAGGTCCAGGAAATGTAAAGAAATTTGTTGGAATATCTGAATTTCAGTAAAAAAATAAAAATAAGATTTTGTTACTTAAAAAAGAAATACTTGGCAGCATGTACTCATTCATTTTCCTTTTTGCCCAGTGATCCTGCATATTATGTATCTCTCATTGCTATGATAAATACTTGGCAAACAACACCTTAAGGGAGTGCAGTTTTATTTTGGCTTACAAAATAAATTTAAGAAGGAACACAGTCAGTGATGAAAAGTAAGTCAAAGCAACGGGACTGCTGGTCATGTTGTATCCACACTCAGGAAGCAGACAGCAGAAAGGAAGTAGAGCCACTATGCAGAACCTCATGGCCTGTCATGACTCACTTCCTCTAGCAAAGCTCCACCTCCTAAAGGTTCTACAAACTTCCAGATGTTGGCAACAGCTGGAGACCAAGTGTTTGAACATGTGAGCCTACAAGGGACATTTCAAATCCAAACTACCACATCAGTGTGAATTAATGGTTCGATTGAAGTAACAATTTTCAGAAACTCTCCTTGCATTCCATAATGTTGCCAATAACAGAAGCTGATTAGATATTCATGGCACTCATGTGTAGGACATGATCATCATCTCCAAGGCCTCCCTCTTCTACCCAGTACAGACATACTTCCATTGGGTCCAGTGAAACTGTCAACTAAATAAATAGCTAAGCTGCTCAAATAATGCTTTCCTGAAATATCCAATTACTCAATCTCTACTCTTGTACCTCAGATATGAGCAGCCAGGCCTTGCACAATACTTCACACAGGTTATGTATTGTTCAGGTGTATTTCAATCCCAGATACTGGTTTATTACATTACCCTATAAAACTCTGAACCTTTGTTTTTTTTTCATCTACAACATGAATATAAATAATATTCAGTCATACAGTATTGTTGTGAATATATAAAATGAATCAGAATGTTGTGCTTGACAGGTAGGAGATATTCAATGTATGTTCTTTCCTCCTCTTCCCACTTCCTACTATGTATGACACTAAAAACAAAAAAAGGAGCTGGAGAGATGGCTCAGTGGTTAAGAACATTGACTCCTCTTACAGGAGACCCAGTTTTGGTTCCCAACACCAACATGATAGCTCACAATCTGTAATTCCAGTTCCAGGGGATTTGACACTTTCTTTTAGCCCCCACAGGCACCAGGTAAACAGGCATACATGTAGGTAAAACATCTATACACATAAAATAAGAATAAATAAATCTTAAAAAAAAGAAAGAATAAAAGAAATCTGGGTGTGGTGGCATACATCTTTAAGCCCAACACTTACAGGGTAGAAAGTAGGCATATCTCTGTGAGTTTGAGGCCAGGGTGTCTATGTAGTGAGTTCAGGCTAACCAGAGCTACATAGTGAAATCCATACTGAGACCCCATATATAAGGAGATTAACAAGGCCAACTATGCTGGGAAGTGTGGGGAGCCATCCCACCCTCACTTATCCCCAGGGTATTCTTGAACAGGAGCAGCAGGAAATATTAGATAGAAATATAGCTAGAAGACAGACAGAAACATAGAATAGCTTCAGGAGGCCTAGATCCTAATCCATCGGGCCCTGGCTGTATCTGCCAAAGGACTTTTAAAGGAATGCCTAGGGGAGGAGCAAAAAACCTTCCCCCAGGCACAGCCAAGTGCAGACCCTTCCAAGCACCTGGCAACCTTGCCCATGGTCAAATCATCCCCTTATGCAGCTCTGTCAGGCAAACTCACAAGGAAACTTCTGTGAGCTCCCACAGGTCACTCTCTTAATTTTTTTCTCCTTTTTTTTTTTTTATTAAGAGATTTTCTATTCATTTTACATTATCAACCACAGATTCCCCTGTCTTCCCTCCT